TCCAGGAAGACATCCACACATGGCACGCACTCACTAAACAATATTGATACGATTTATACAAAGCTGAGTCTGACAATATGGGAAGAAATTAAAGATATTGATTTTTTGTTCTTCGAAGACATGGACCAAAAACTTTGTGAAGACATATACCAACTTTTGTGTGGAAACAATAGTGGATTGAGAAAATTCTTGTTCAAGTTGTTATCAAGGGACAACCCACTAGTTACGTACAAAATCTCACAGTGCTTCAGGAGAACTTTGTCGAGGCCAAGAAAAATCCATCTGAGAAGAAACCGAGTTGGAAAGGCGTGGAAGAGATTTCTAAATATATTTTGTTGCGGATTTCATACGGATGATATTCAAACTGACGGACCATACAAGAGTGGACCTTTTGAGCCTCGACTGGCCTCTGAGTCGGGTCCAGCTCCTGATACGGCACCGGCTCCTGACTCGGAACTGGACTCTGAGTCGGGACCGGCTCCTGACACGGCACCGGCTCCTGACTTGGAACTGGACCCTGAGTCGGGACCGGCTCCTGACTCGGAACTGGACTCTGAGTCGGGAGCGGCTCCTGAGTCGGGACCGGACTCTGAGTCGGGACCGGCCCCTGACTTGGGACCGGCTTCTGAGTCGGGACTGGACTCTGAGTTGGGAGCGGTTTCTGAGTCGGGACCGGACTCTGAGTCGGGAGCGGCTGACTTGGGACCGGACTCTGAGTCGGGAGCGGCTCCTGACTTGGGACCGGACTCTGAGTCGGGAGCGGCTCCTGACTTGGACCGGACTCTGAGTCGGGACCGGCCCCTGACTCGGGACCGGCTTCTGAGTCGGGACCGGTTCCTGACTCGGAACTGGACTCTGAGTCGGGAGCGGCTCCTGACTCGGGACCGGCTCCTGACGGGACCGGCTTCTGAGTCGGGACCGGACTCTGAGTCGGGAGCGGCTCCTGACTTGGGACCGGACTCTGAGTCGGGACCGGCCCCTGACTTGGGACCGGCTTCTGAGTCGGGACTGGACTCTGAGTTGGGAGCGGTTTCTGAGTCGGGACCGGACTCTGAGTTGGGAGCAGTTTCTGAGTCGGGAGCGGCTCCTGACTTGGGATTGGACTCTGAGTCGGGAACGGCCCCTCACTTGGGACCGGCTTCTGAGTCGGGACTGGACTCTGAGTCGGGATCGGTTTCTGAGTCGAGAGTGGCTCCTGACTTGGTACTGGACTCTGAGTCGGGACCGGACTCTGAGTCGGGACCGGCCCCTGACTCGGGACCGGCTTCTGAGTCGGGACCGGCCACCGACTTGGGACCAGCTTCTGAGTCGGGACCGGCTCCTGACTCGGGACAGGACCCCGACTCGGGACTGGACTCTGACTCGGGCCTGGACTCTCTCCCGGGACCGAGTTGGGACTGGCCTCTGAGTCGGGACCAACGTCTGAGACGGGACCGTGCTCTGAGTCGGGACCGTATTCAGAGTTGGTACCTGTACCCGAGTGGGGACCGGCCTCTGAGTCCCACCGGGTCGGAGACGGCTTCCGAATCGGAATCGTATTCTGAGTTGGGAGCTGTCTCCGACCCGGGACGGCCTCGAGTTCATCTGAGTCGGGATCGGCCTCGGAGTTGGAACCGGACTTCGAGTTTGGATCGGCCTCGGAGTGTGAACTGGACTTCGAGTCGGGTCCCGACTCGGAGTCGGGACCGGACTCGGAGTCGGGACCGGACTCGAGACCGGATTCTGAGTCGGGACCTGCCATTGGGTCCCGATGAGTTGGTATCGGACTCCGAATCGGGACCATCCTCTTGAGTCGGAATCGTATACCGTATACTTGGGTTTTCTGGTCCTGTTTGGTTATGGCTTTTGGTTTACATCTCTGGTTGTTTTGTGAATATTGTTTTTTGTTTATAAGATATTCATTTCTGATTGTAGTTTTTTTTACCTTTGTATTTTACTAACTCAAACAATAAACTCTACACTGATAAACCTTTAATGTCTCAGAGTCTTTAATGTAACTTCTCCTTCCCCCTGCTGAGCTGGGTCATAACAACCGGCCTCTCTGTTGGGACCAGAGATGGCACAGTCACTGTGAAAAAGTAACTTAGATTACTGATTACTTGATTTGGAAAGTAAGTTACATTAAAAGTAAGTATTTTAGTTATTTCCAGCAGCTACTAACAATGCTACACCACATGTAAAAATCACATTGATCTTTGCCAATACTTAATTGGAAGATATTTTATAATGATTACATCAACAATGTGTCTCCACTCGTAAGGTCGAACTGAAGGGGAGTTTGTTTATTGCTTACAACAGTACAAAAAAACGTTGGTAATTTGTGCATGGTTTTTTTTTTCTCAGACATGTGCGCTTCATTGGGAACCCAATAAAGTGCACATGTCTGAGAAAGAAAAAGTTGAGATTACATAATTTACACATTGAGCAGAACATAGTAAGCCCAACAGAATAAACCTTCATAGGTTTATTTGTCTTTTAACACCATAATAGCTTAAAGCTTTACAAAACCCATTATGTAGAACATTTTATATCATGCTTAACTGTCTAATGTATTAATGTAGGGGAGATGCATTTTAATTTCTGAGCCTGCTAATATTTGCATCCCCTGTCTATTGTCCTATTCATATGAAAATTATAGCGGTAACTCAGAGAACAAGTGTCATTGCGTATAAAAGGTGAAATCCCTCCTAACTCTTTATTTCTCCAAGTTAGAAGGGGATGCAAATTTGGCAGGAACCAATCCATAGATTTGGATTTGGTTCCTGCCAAAATTTGCATCCCCTCTATTTTCATCAAATATTATAGAATTGATATAAAACTCATAGCAGTATTTCATAGAAGTGCTCTGGTTATGTAGAAAAAGTTATATCACTCTTAACTCTTTATTTCTCCAAGTTAGCAGGGGGATGCATATTTTGGCAGTATGGATTTTCAGGCTGCCAAAATTTGCATCCCCCTGCTAACTTGGAGAAATATAGTGAGGAGGAATTACATTTTTTTTCTACATAACCAAAGTAGTTCTACGAACTGCTGGTATGAGTTTCACCTCAATTGGATAATATTTGATGAAAATAGAGGGGATGCAAATTTGGCAGCCTGAAAATCCATATTGCCAAAAATGCATCCCCCTGCTAACTTGCAGAAATAAAAAGTTAAGAGTGATATAACTTTTTCTACATAACCAGAGCACTTCTTTGAAATACTGGTACCAAAGCATAATTAAAATTAATTCTGAAGCCTCTGTAAACTAAATTGTCCTTCAAAAAATGTTCTAGTTGAGACCAAAGTGCCAGATTGAAAACTTTTCTCATCCACTTTCTGGTAGAAAGAGAGACAAATGGAAATTATTGAGCTTGTTCATCAAATATTTTCAAAATAATATTAAACTAATACCAGTAGTTCATAAAACTACTCTGGTCATGTAGAAAATGTTATTTCACTCTTAACTTTTTATTTCTCCAAGTTAGCAGAGGGTGCAATTTTTAGCAATATGCATTTTCCGCCTGCCAAAATTTGCATGTCCTCTCTATTTTCCTCTACTGTTATTATGCTAATAACATGAAACTCATAGCAGTAGCTCATAGAACTATTCTGCTTCTGTAGAAAAAGTTATTCCACTCTTAATTTTTTATTTCTTCATGTTAGAAGGTGGATGCGTTTTATGGCAAAGCCTATTATCAGCCTGCCAAAATATGCTTGCCCGCTCTATTTTCCTCAAATGTTGTCCTATTGATATGAAACTCACACCAGCAATTAAGGGAACAAATGTGGTTATGTTGAAAAAGCTATTTCACTCATAACTGTTTGTTTTGTTTTTAGCTTGGGGGGATGCATTTTTTGGCAATATGAATTTTGATTTGATTTGATGGTGCATTTAATCCCCACAGACTCTTTTTCATAGCACATGCTCAATGTGTGCTATTAGCACCCTTAGCAACAGTTGCCATGCTGCTGACAATGATGTCATCAGCATGACTTCAAAGGATGTCTGTGTCATGAGGCCCTTCTAAGGATGACTTTGTGATGTCATAGAGTCCATGACATCACTGATCAGCTAAACTCTGTGGGCGGTTAACAAAAGATTCATTTGAATTCAGATCAGCAAAACCAGCATGAGTGTTACAGAACTCCAGAGCCAAGATCCTGCAAAACAGAACATTTCCCTTTTCAAAAAGATGAGAAAGACTTTTTCAAATCGAGTGCATCCCGGCAATATTACGCCAGATTACACAAAAAGACATTTTCTTAGTGAACTGTTGTGGAACGTCATCAGAAGAGTCGCGGATTCTCAAACGGAGCACCTGGTCAAAGAAGTTTTTCAGCGGCAACACCAGAGAATTTTACTTGAGCTTTCAGCTACAACAGGAGTCCTAAACGTGACGGCACTATCGGAGAATTTTGAAGAGCTGGCTGAAAGATATATACAAGTCTCACACAGGACGAATTTATCTCATGTACTGGATTAATTTTGATAGGACTCCTCGAAGACAGAGATGGACAATTGTTTATGGCGGAACAATTCAAGCATCACCTGGAGAATCCCTTTCTGAGAAAGAAGATGTTTACATCAACTAGAAAGAAGATTAGACGGACATTTTTTCCAAGTGAGGAGCTATATGCGGAAGAAAATTGCCTGAATGAAGAAAAGGATGAAGAATTTTTGAAGGACACAAAGACAAAAGACTTGAAACATGGGACTGAAGAAGACAGAAGAAAAATGGTTGACAAGATTCTTAGTAAATTAATAGATAAATCCAGGAAGACATCCACACATGGCACGCACTCACTAAACAATATTGATACGATTTATACAAAGCTGAGTCTGACAATATGGGAAGAAATTAAAGATATTGATTTTTTGTTCTTCGAAGACATGGACCAAAAACTTTGTGAAGACATATACCAACTTTTGTGTGGAAACAATAGTGGATTGAGAAAATTCTTGTTCAAGTTGTTATCAAGGGACAACCCACTAGTTACGTACAAAATCTCACAGTGCTTCAGGAGAACTTTGTCGAGGCCAAGAAAAATCCATCTGAGAAGAAACCGAGTTGGAAAGGCGTGGAAGAGATTTCTAAATATATTTTGTTGCGGATTTCATACGGATGATATTCAAACTGACGGACCATACAAGAGTGGACCTTTTGAGCCTCGACTGGCCTCTGAGTCGGGTCCAGCTCCTGATACGGCACCGGCTCCTGACTCGGAACTGGACTCTGAGTCGGGACCGGCTCCTGACACGGCACCGGCTCCTGACACGGAACTGGACTCTGAGTCGGGAGCGGCTCCTGACTCGAACCAGACTCTGAGTCGGGGAGCGGCTCCTGAGTCGGGACCGGACTCTGAGTCGGGACCGGCCCCTGACTTGGGACCGGCTTCTGAGTCGGGACTGGACTCTGAGTTGGGAGCGGTTTCTGAGTCGGGACCGGACTCTGAGTCGGGAGCGGCTCCTGACTTGGGACCGGACTCTGAGTCGGGAGCGGCTCCTGACTTGGGACCGGACTCTGAGTCGGGAGCGGCTCCTGACTTTGGACCGGACTCTGAGTCGGGACCGGCCCCTGATTCGGGACCGGCTTCTGAGTCGGGACCGGCTCCTGACTCGGAACTGGACTCTGAGTCGGGAGCGGCTCCTGACTCGGGACCGGCTCCTGACTCGGGACCGGCTTCTGAGTCGGGACCGGACTCTGAGTCGGGAGCGGCTCCTGACTTGGGACCGGACTCTGAGTCGGGACCGGCCCCTGACTTGGGACCGGCTTCTGAGTCGGGACTGGACTCTGAGTTGGGAGCGGTTTCTGAGTCGGGACCGGACTCTGAGTTGGGAGCAGTTTCTGAGTCGGGAGCGGCTCCTGACTTGGGATTGGACTCTGAGTCGGGAACGGCCCCTGACTTGGGACCGGCTTCTGAGTCGGGACTGGACTCTGAGTCGGGAGGCGGTTTCTGAGTCGAGAGTGGCTCCTGACTTGGTACTGGACTCTGAGTCGGGACCGGACTCTGAGTCGGGACCGGCCCCTGATCGGGACCGGCTTCTGAGTCGGGACCGGCCACCGACTTGGGACCAGCTTCTGAGTCGGGACCGGCTCCTGAATCGGGACAGGACCCCGACTTGGGACTGGACTCTGACTCGGGCCTGGACTCTCCCGGGACCGAGTTGGGACTGGCCTCTGAGTCGGGACCAACGTCTGAGACGGGACCGTGCTCTGAGTCGGGACCGTATTCAGAGTTGGTACCTGTACCCGAGTGGGGACCGGCCTCTGAGTCCCACCGGGTCGAGACGGCTTCCGAATCGGAATCGTATTCTGAGTTGGGAGCTGTCTCCGACCCGGGACGGCCTCCGAGTTCATCTGAGTCGGGATCGGCCTCGGAGTTGGAACCGGACTTCGAGTTTGGATCGGCCTCGGAGTGTGACCTGGACTTCGAGTCGGGTCCCGACTCGGAGTCGGGACCGGACTCGGAGTCGGGACCGGACTCGAGACCGGATTCTGAGTCGGGACCTGCCATTGGGTCCCGATGAGTTGGTCGGACTCCGAATCGGGACCATCCTCTTGAGTCGGAATCGTATACCGTATACTTGGGTTTCTGGTCCTGTTTGGTTATGGCTTTTGGTTTACATCTCTGGTTGTTTTGTGAATATTGTTTTTTGTTTATAAGATATTCATTTCTGATTGTAGTTTTTTTTACCTTTGTATTTTACTAACTCAAACAATAAACTCTACACTGATAAACCTTTAATGTCTCAGAGTCTTTAATGTAACTTCTCCTTCCCCCTGCTGAGCTGGGTCATAACAACCGGCCTCTCTGTTGGGACCAGAGATGGCACAGTCACTGTGAAAAAGTAACTTAGATTACTGATTACTTGATTTGGAAAGTAAGTTACATTAAAAGTAAGTATTTTAGTTATTTCCAGCAGCTACTAACAACAATGCTACACCACATGTAAAAATCACATTGATCTTTGCCAATACTTAATTGGAAAATATTTTATAATGATTACATCAACAATGTGTCTCCACTCGTAAGGTCGAACTGAAGGGGAGATTGTTTATTGCTTACAACAGTGCAAAAAACGTTGGTAATTTGTGCATGGTTTTTTTTTCTCAGACATGTGCGCTTCATTGGGAACCCAATAAAGCGCACATGTCTGAGAAAAAAAAAGTTGAGATTACATAATTTACACATTGAGCAGAACATAGTAAGCCAACAGAATAAACCTTCATAGGTTTATTTGTCTTTTAACACCATAATAGCTTAAAGCTTTACAAAACCCATTATGTAGAACATTTTATATCATGCTTAACTGTCTAATGTATTAATGTAGGGGAGATGCATTTTAATTTCTGAGCCTGCTAATATTTGCATCCCCTGTCTATTGTCCTATTCATATGAAAATTATAGCGGTAACTCAGAGAACAAGTGTCATTGCGTATAAAAGGTGAAATCCCTCCTAACTCTTTATTTCTCCAAGTTAGAAGGGGATGCAAATTTTGGCAGGAACCAAATTGGTTCCTGCCAAAATTTGCATCCCCTCTATTTTCATCAAATATTATAGAATTGATATAAAACTCATAGCAGTATTTCATAGAAGTGCTCTGGTTATGTAGAAAAGTTATACACTCTTAACTCTTTATTTCTCCAAGTTAGCAGGGGGAGCATATTTTGGCAGTATGGATTTTCAGGCTGCCAAAATTTGCATCCCCCTGTTAACTTGGAGAAATATAGTGAGGAGGAATTACATTTTTTTTCTACATAACCAAAGTAGTTCTACGAACTGCTGGTATGAGTTTCACCTCAATTGGATAATATTTGATGAAAATAGAGGGGATGCAAATTTGGCAGCCTGAAAATCCATATTGCCAAAAAATGCATCCCCCTGCTAACTTGCAGAAATAAAAAGTTAAGAGTGATATAACTTTTTCTACATAACCAGAGCACTTCTTTGAAATACTGGTACCAAAACATAATTAAAATTAATTCTGAAGCCTCTGTAAACTAAATTATCCTTCAAAAAAAGTTCTTGTTGAGACCAAAGTGCCAGATTGAAAACTTTTCTCATCCACTTTCTGGTAGGAAGAGAGACAAATGGAAATTATTGAGCTTGTTTTCATCAAATATTTTCAAAATAATATTAAACTAATACCAGTAGTTCATAAAACTACTCTGGTCATGTAGAAAATGTTATTTCACTCTTAACTTTTTATTTCTCCAAGTTAGCAGAGGGTGCAATTTTTAGCAATATGCATTTTCCGCCAGCCAAAATTTGCATGTCCTCTCTATTTTCCTCTACTGTTATTATGCTAATAACATGAAACTCATAGCAGTAGCTCATAGAGCTATTCTGCTTATGTAGAAAAAGTTATTCCACTCTTAATTTTTTATTTCTGCATGTTAGCAGGGGGCTGCGTTTTATGGCAAAGCCTATTATCAGCCTGCCAAAATATGCTTGCCCGCTCTATTTTCCTCAAATGTTGTCCTATTGATATGAAACTCACACCAGCAATTAAGGGAACAAATGTGATTATGTAGAAAAAGCTATTTCACTCATAACTGTTTGTTGTTGTTTTATAAGCTTGGGGGGATGCATTTTTTGGCAATATGAATTTTGATTTGATTTGATGGTGCATTTAATCCCCACAGACTCTTTTTTATAGCACATGCTCAATGTGTGCTATTAGCACCATTAGCAACAGTTGCCATGCTGCTGACAATGATGTCATCAGCATGACTTCAAAGGATGTCTGTGTCATGAGGCCCTTCTAAGGATGACTTTGTGATGTCATAGAGTCCATGACATCACTGATCAGCTAAACTCTGTGGGCGGTTAACAAAAGATTCATTTGAATTCAGATCAGCAAACCAGCATGAGTGTTACAGAACTCCAGAGCCAAGATCCTGCAAAACAGAACATTTCCCTTTTCAAAAAGATGAGAAGACTTTTTCAAATCGAGTGCATCCCGGCAATATTACGCCAGATTACAGAAAAAGACATTTCTTGAGTGAACTATTGTGGAGCGTCATCGGAAGAGTCGCGGATTCTCAAACAGAGCACCTGGTCAAAGAAGTTTTTCAGCGGCAACACCAGAGAGTTTTACTTGAGCTTTCAGCTACAACAGGAGTCCTAAACGTGACGGCACTATCGGAGAACTTTGAAGAGCTGGCTGAAAAGATATATACAAGTCTCACACAGGACGAATTTATCTCATGTACTGGATTAATTTGATAGGACTCCTCGAAGACAGAGATGGACAATTGTTTATGGTGGAACAATTCAAGCATCACCTGGAGAATCCCTTTCTGAGAAAGAAGATATTTACATCGACTAGAAAGAAGATTAGACAGACATTTTATCCAAGTGAGGAGCTATATGCGGAAGAAAATTGCCTGAATGAAGAAAAGGATGAAGAATTTTTGAAGGACACAAAGACAAAAGACTTGAAACATGGGACTGAAGAGGACAGAAGAAAAATGGTTGACAAGATTCTTAGTAAATTAATAGATAAATCCAGGAAGACATCCACACATGGCACGCACTCACTGAACAACATTGATACGATTTATACAAAGCTGAGTCTGACAATATGGGAAGAAATTAAAGATATTGATTTTTTGTTCTTCGAAGACATGGACCAAAAACTTTGCGAAGACATATACCAACTTTTGTGTGGAAACAATAGTGGATTGAGAAAATTCTTGTTCAAGTTGTTATCAAGGGACAACCACTAGTTACGTACAAAATCTCACAGTGCTTCAGGAGAACTTTGTCGAGGCCAAGAAAAATCCATCTGAGAAGAAACCGAGTTGGAAAGGCGTGGAAGAGATTTCTAAATATATTTTGTTGCGGATTTCATACGGATGATATTCAAACTGACGGACCATACAAGAGTGGACCTTTTGAGCCTCGACTGGCCTGAGTCGGGTCCAGCTCCTGATACGGCACCGGCTCCTGACTCGGAACTGGACTCTGAGTCGGGACCGGCTCCTGACACGGCACTGGCTCCTGACACGGAACTGGACCCTGAGTCGGGACCGGCTCCTGACTCGGAACTGGACTCTGAGTCGGGAGCGGCTCCTGACTCGGGACCGGCTCCTGAGTCGGGACTGGACTCTGAGTGGGAGCGGTTTCTGAGTCGAGAGTGGTTCCTGACTCGGAACTGGACTCTGAGTCGGGACCGGCTCCTGACACGGCACCGGCTCCTGACACGGAACTGGACCCTGAGTCGGGACCGGCTCCTGACTCGGGACTGGGCTCTGAGTCGGGAGCGGCTCCTGACTTGGGACCGGCTTCTGAGTCGGGACTGCACTCTGATTTGGGAGCGGTTTCTGAGTCGAGAGTGGCTCCTGACTTGGGACTGGACTCTGAGTCGGGACCGGACTCTGAGTCGGGACCGGCCCCTGACTCGGGACCGGCTTCTGACTCGGGACCGGCCCCTGACTCGGGACCGGCCCCTGACTTGGGACCGGCTTCTGAGTCGGGACCGGCCACCGACTTGGGACCAGCTTCTGAGTCGGGACTGGACTCTGAGTTGGGAGCGGTTTCTGAGTCGGGAGCGGCTCCTGACTTGGGACCGGACTCTGAGTCGGGACTGGACTTGACTCGGGCCTGGACTCTCTCCCGGGACCGAGTTGGGACTGGCCTCTGAGTCGGGACCAACGTCTGAGACGGGACCGTGCTCTGAGTCGGGACCGTATTCAGAGTTGGTACCTGTACCCGAGTGGGGACCGGCCTCTGAGTCCCACCGGGTCGGAGACGGCTTCCGAATCGGATCGTATTCTGAGTTGGGAGCTGTCTCCGACCCGGGACGGCCTCCGAGTTCATCTGAGTCGGGATCGGCCTCGGAGTTGGAACCGGACTTCGAGTTTGGATCGGCCTCGGAGTGTGAACTGGACTCGAGTCGGGACCGGACTCAGAGTCGGGACCGGACTCGGAGTCGGGACCGGACTCGAGACCGGATTCTGAGTCGGGACCTGCCATTGGGTCCCGATGAGTTGGTATCGGACTCCGAATCGGGACCATCCTCTTGAGTCGGAATCGTATACCATATACTTGGGTTTCTGGTCCTGTTTGTTATGGCTTTTGGTTTACATCTCTGGTTGTTTTGTGAATATTGTTTTTTGTTTATAAGATATTCATTTCTGATTGTAGTTTTTTTTTACCTTTGTATTTTACTAACTCAAACAATAAACTCTACACTGATAAACCTTTAATGTCTCAGAGTCTTTAATGTAACTTCTCCTTCCCCCTGCTGAGCTGGGTCATAACAACCGGCCTCTCTGTTGGGACCAGAGATGGTACAGTCACTGTGAAAAAGTAACTTAGATTACTGATTACTTGATTTGGAAAGTAAGTTACATTAAAAGTAAGTATTTTAGTTATTTCCAGCAGCTACTAACAACAATGCTACACCACATGTAAAATCACATTGATCTTTGCCAATACTTAATTGGAAAATATTTTATAATGATTACATCAACAATGTGTCTCCACTCGTAAGGTCGAACTGAAG